AGAGAGGGGAGAGGGGAGGGGGGCGGGGGGGAAGGAGGAGGAGGGGGAGAAGGAGAAGAAAGAAGAAGAAGAAGTTGGGGAGGGGGGAGGAGGAGGACAAAGAAGAAGAAGAAAAGGGTAGATGAGGAGGAGGAGAAAAGAAGAAGAAGTAGAAGCATACTTGCGGCGCATCCCGCACGCAAGGTCGCGGCACATGCGGCGCAGAGCGCATGTGCATGCACGCCCGCACACGTGCATGCTCGCCCGCGCACGTGATTCGGCGCATCACCAAAAAAAAAAAAAAAAAAAAAAATTGAAAGCACAGGGTGGGGTGGCCAAACATGCCCCTCGCTTCCGAAAATCAAACTGCAAGAGGGAAAAAAGGTGGGGCCACCCCATACCCCAACACTGTCAGCACATGTGTGTGCGTGTGGGTGTGCATGTCCTAATTGTGTCCAGTCTCATTTCCGAAGGGCCCCTACAAATTAGTAAGGACCCCTAGTGGAGCAGAGATGGACATTAGACTTCTGGTTTGCCTGCGTGGGCCAAATCAAACTGCAAGAGGGAAAAAAGTTGGGGCCACCCCATACCCCAAAACTGTGAGCACATGTGTGTGCGTGTGGGTGTGCATGTCCTAATTGTGTCCAGTCTCATTTCCGAAGGGCCCCTACAAATTAGCAAGGACCCCTCGTTGAACAGAGATGGACATTAGACGTCTGCTTTGCCTACGTGGCCCAAGAATATATAGTCTGGACTCGAATTCAGGTCTGTGCATCATGCATGGGTCCTGGGGACCATCTCACGCAAGTGTGTACACGCCATGCATCGTACTCCCACTCACAATGAACAGTAGTCTGACAATAGACAAAGATAGAGAAGATGAGGACCGAGTTTCACAGTTTATATTATCAGAAATATGAATACAAAGTGTTTCAAAGTTCCCCTGAGTCCAGCGCTCATCAGCGCAACACCAATATCTTGCCAACTCATCAATATGCCTTCCAGTGAATCAGTGCTACCCCTGCAGATAGTCTCCAAGTCATCAATGTGGTCACCACTCATCAGCGCCACCTCTGCAGGTCACATCCAACTCAGGTAAGTATCTTCCATAGCCAACCTTGAATGAACACTCTCAGCCTCAATCYCTTCCTMBTRTGATGCATACACACTCTTCAATACTCATGAGGATCTACTCTGGATACTACTCATAGCTACATACTAACCCTCTACTACTAATGCTGACTCGCTGGGCAGCTATGGCTGCATCACTTCCAGCGTACAGGCATCTTCCTCCCTCCAGCGCGTCTTCTCCTCCAGCGCTGCTCCTCCTGACTCAGCGCACAAGTGCACCAGCACTTCCACGCATTGCAGCCAGTGGAGATCTGGC